GGGGGGGGGGGGGGGGCGTCCTCTGTGTCAGAGTCTGAGTTGTACTTGGCGATGAGGTCCTGTGTCATCACGTCCTTGAATCAAGGCCAAAGGCAACTCTTCAACCTGAAACTTGCTAGCCACCAAGCTAGGAAGGACAAACAAAAACATGCTTCATCGGTGTAAAACCACAGCTGGAAGCAATCGGAAAAGAAAGTGCTCAGACACACAACCCCGGTTTTGTCCGCAGCTACATTCTGTCCGAAGGCCGCCAGCAAGAAAGGTCAGGGAGCAGTGAACAAGTGAAAGCTGCACAGCGGAGCAGTCGCATTACGCCTCTTGAAGGTGGCGGGTATTTCGATCAAGCACTCTCCACCTCAATTAGTAGGCTCTCGGTGTTCCAACCCCACGCCTCGCCGCGAGCTTCATGCGGGTCGGATCGCAAGCGATGCCAGCGGCTCAACACACCAAACGAAATCCCCAGAAGCCGACGGCCTTGCGGGAAGCCCAACAAACCGAGACCGCGAAGGCGACGACCATCTGCCATCCCACGTCCTCCCCCTGCGTCGCTTGATCACGCTCCGCCTGCGCTCCATGACCGATCGCCCAACTGCCATCCGACGACCCTTCAAGCGCATCATCCGAATGCTCATCGCTAACTTCGGCGTCAAGCTGGCAGTCGACCGTGCCGGGATGTGCCCGGCATCGCGGCAACCCGGTAGCAGTTTGTGGCGAGCCACAGCCTTCATGTCCCCGGACTCAGGCCCCGGTGCCAACCCAGAATCACAGGATATCACCGGTGTGAGAGCAATCAGCAAAGAGACCGCTCAGACTTGCAACCCGGCGGGTTTAGCCTGTTGCTAAAGTCTGGCCGAAAGCCTCCCTTACGAAAGGCTACGGGAGCGCTTTAACAATTGAGGGCTGCAAAGCGGATGCATTCTCAAGCAGTCTTGCAAGACCATGTCTGTCTCGTGTCTCGTTTGTGCCCTGCTTGCACCCGGGGTCTTGTTAAAAGAGTGTCTAGAGTAGAGCCTCGTGGACGGAAACCTAGCATGCTGCAACAGGATCGAAGAGCGAGCATGGGCGACATGTGCATTGCGATAAGCGGCACGATGTTTCAGGATGAGTCGTGAAGCATGTGGGTGCCACGCTCCGATTAGACCCTCCCTTCGCTTGTTGTTGCCAGCTCTCGTCTGATTCGTCGTGTTCTTGGTTGCTGGCTTCTTGTGGCTGCTGATTTGATTGTTCTCTTCGTCTGTCGACCTCCGTCTGTCCTTCTCCGTCAGCCACATCAAAATGTTCACAATATATCACAATGCATTCCACGTGGCAGTGAGCTGACAGACGACCAACCGAGATCGCAGATATCTCTCCACCTGCAACGGCTAGCAAGACTAGTTGAGCAAACGAAGACTGCGCATGAAGGCGAAACATCGCTCGTGTCACAGGCCTCCGACTCAATCAGCTCATCTAGCTGCTCTCGATCCACTTCCGCGACGGACTTGAGGTTCCCAGGCACCACACACAAGGACCAAAGCGTCTGCCTATACACAGCAGGGGGACATGCATGCCCACGCCCCGCGCGCGCCCGCGACACCCACATGCTCTCTCTCCTCCCCGGGCTGTGCCTGAGCTGGTCTCTCAAGTGTCGGCTCCTGGGGACGAGCTCCGTGGCCAGGCGCTCGAAGCCGACGAAGTGATGAGCGTGACCTGTGAAGATCTTTCAAAAACACCCCCCCCCACCGGAAGTCTCTCTCTAAGAGACAGCCCACGATCAGCCCGAGCAAAGCCTTCGGCGCTTGCAGTCGTACGGTACAGCGTGCATTTCTGAGAGCTAATCTCTAGCCCTCCAGACGAGAACGCAAGATAGTCTCGCAGGGATGTTTATGCAGCATCTACGCTTCAGCCCACTCCGGGAAGAGATAGATGCGCGGCGAAACGTGCGCACGACCGCCTACTCCTTGACTGTCATGCCTGACTCAGCCGATTCTTCCCACAGTCAAACAAAGCACCGAAGACCGCCATACGACTCGGCACGCCGAGTCGCAGCAGGCCGCATGGCGAAGCCGGAAGTCCCTCGTCTCCGTCTTGCCTGAGCCCACGTGCCAATGCGCACCGTGCGAATCCTTAAGCAGGTCTTCCGACGCCTGCTGAGAATCAGGCGTGCTACGCTTTTGCTGCTGCTCTTGAGCGCCGGCAGCTGCACTTGTGGCGGCACGGCAGCCTCCATCCGACAAACTGCGCACGCACACTACGGGGATACTACACAGGGGCTCTAGGAGAGAACCGTCAGCGCTTTCTCTCCTGGAAGCCGTCGTCCTCTGGACTTGGCCTGGAGCCAGCCTGGCCAAGAGGGGACAAAAGGCCCAGGGCCCCTGAAGGGGACCCCTTGGCTCCTTCAGAGGGGGCTTTTTTCCCAGGCCTTGGACTCACTCCGTGGGCTCCGAAGGTCCTCGGAGAAAAATAAAAAAGCAGCTCTCACAGAGCCCCTTCTGCAGAGACACGCTGACCACTCTCAACGCTGCGTCCAAGCATCTGTCTGACCAGCTCCTTACAAGTCTGATGACCCTAAAACCCAACAGTTCAGAATGAGTTTGGCTGGGAACCCAGAACCGTAGTCAGAGGTAAGGTTCTAATTCGAAAGGAGGCTGCAACAAACTGCGCAGACGTCTCCACCACCAGACGCGAGTCGAAGAACGGCCAGTCATCTTGTGCTCTCCACGTCGCCTCGGGAGTGGCACTCTCTCAGGAGTCCTCTTGAGAAGCAAGGTCTCCTTGCCTCCGCGGGCTGGACGGCCCTGGCTACGTCGGCAGCATCGGCGATGTCCGCGTTCGAAGACCCCCCCACCTCCAAGAATATCTCAACGACACCGCTAGGGAGCAGCGACTGACAGCATCGGGTCACGCCTGCCACCATTTCACCATCTATGCAGAGCATCAGCAGTTGGAGACAAGATTCCAGGAGCAAGACCATGTGCCATTTCATGGGGTCTCCGCTCTGTTGCTATGTCATGTTGACTATGGGCTCTAAATGGTTCTAATTACATGAAGACAGGTCAACTTGGGCCAGACAGGCAAGGTGTAGGTCGCCTGGCTCCCAGACTTGTGGGTACCGTCACACAGAGCTCCGGCAACGCATGAGCAACTGTTCAAAGAGCTCCTTCAACAATAAGAAGCACTGATGCGAACAGCCTCGTAGAGGGCTGCCTTTTCTTCTGCAGCAAGATGCCGGAACCTGGACTCATGTATGAAGAGCTTCAAGCAGCGAAGGGCAAACTCGGCAGGCCCGCTCATCTATGCAGCAAACTCCACCATCAGCCAGCGACAAAGCTCCTGCCTGTGGCCCAAGAAGACTTGGCTATGGTGCACTTTGATCTGATCACTGACTTGCTGAAGCACCTCAAGGCTCCACCCTGCACCGTCTCGGACGCATGCGACCGTCAGCCTTCAGGCACCGACCAGGGAGCGGCTTGCATCTACTCGGGGCAGTTGCATCGAGGACTCAACTGGCCCCTCTAGGCTGCAGACCCAGAACGCGTGGCTCCGATGGCACCTGGACATTTGACCATGGCTGTGGCTACGGAAACTCCAATCCTTGGTCCGTACATGACACGAAGAGGCTTGAAGAGGCTGGCACTGCAGCAAACTCCATGTGCGGAAAGATCCGCAGCCGCCTGGCGGGAAGCTCCCCAGATTCAGTTTTGAACTTGGCAACAAGATTTACTATGGCATGAGCGACGACAGCGGAATGATCATGTGCAAGGTCTCCCTGGCCACTCAACTCGCTAACGCCAAAAGCGCAGTTTTGAAGCTTCTCGGATTCTCGGACGTCTTGAGTGGCATCGGTCGGACATGTCGTCGCCCCATCAGCTTCGCTGGTCATGCGATCGATGCACATCCACTTCTGCGAAGATGTTGTGTCAACTCAATTGAGGGTCGGCCCATACGGGACATACCTTGCTACGGCAAGAGCTTCCGCTTGTATGCACAGATGGGTGAGACTCCGCGTGCAGACCTTCATGCGGAAAGGAAAAACGCAAGCACACATGCACGGACCAGGAAGAAGCACTTCGAAATGCGCGGTTGGCTGGGAGGCAATGCTGCACATTGCTACCATACCCTTGCAGCTTTCCGACTGCGTGATTTACTGGGACAGCACCTCTTGTGCTTCTTCACTGTCAGGAAGCCCGACATCTTCCACTTCGAGGCTCTTCACCATGTGACTCCTTGCGAGTCGCAAGCCGATCATCAAACAATGTGTCATCAACCGCGCTAATATGATCTAATATGGCTCGGAATTGATGCGATCTGTCGGCAGGGCTTCTGAAGTCTTCTCAGCGTCCGGCGGCTCACCAGGAGGTGATAGACCTGTGGCTTCGTAACCACAGCCGCCGTAGAGGCGTTCTGAAGCCTGCTGGGCAGCGCGGAGCCCCGAGACACTGCGTACCCGGAGATCTGGCCTTGCCCCCTGCCGCATGTAGATACAAACGATCGCCGTTCCAAACCTCGACGACAACCTGTCAGTTGCACTGTTGCGCCTGACTTCGAAGGGCGATGCAGAAGACCTTCTCGATCATCTGAAGCATGGCGCGTCCCACGCCCTTGCGGCGCCACTTTGGTGCCACACAGAAGTTCTGTAGATAAGGCTGTGCCTGGCCAGCCAGTGCAAGCTGCCGTGGAAGTCACCCGAGAGTTCTTGGCTGGGATGGCGGCAGTATTCTGGTTGTTGTCAATGATCATGGACCTTTCAAGCTTAGCACCCCCCTGAGTCGGAGTTAGTGTGCCTAGGGCTCACGCATCGTGGCTCCAAAATCATCTGGAGAGCAGCCGCTTGCTGGCAAAATGCAGAGCCTCAGCCAAGCGCTGGGCAAACCGATGACTTCGATTGCTTTCTGCTTTCACCCAGACACTCGCAGAAGGCCACTGGAGAAATCGGCCCATCACCTACAGAAGCGCCGCTGAACCGCTCTGCCTTCTTCTCTCCGTACCGCCACACCTTCTTCCACGAGGAGGAGGCCCAAAGAGTCACCCTGGCAGAGGTGACTTGCTGACCGCTAACACTCCGATGGTGTCCTGCAGCTGGTGTTGGCCTTCCGATCTCACGGCGAACCAGATTGTATCTGCGTGCTTCCTTCGTTGCTTGTTTCTCCATTGCTTCTTGACTACTATAGCTCTGTCTTTGTCCTTTGCGTGGGTAAATAGGTTCTGCTTGTTGTTGTGCTCTTGCATTTGTCGCTCAGCGGGTATGCTTCGCTTGCTCGATTGCGTGTCGCCACTGTGTCCTTTCCCAGGCCCGCAATCGCTCAACTTGCTGACCGGTGCCTCAAACTGCCATCGCCATGGTTTTCGCAACGAGGGCCGCTTCCTCAGCTTTCAAGCAGCCGTTTGCTACAGCCCTGACCAGTCGCCACAGCAACATATAGCAACACACATACGCACAGCCAGTAGCCACAGGCAAGGGTCATGACGCGTTGGAAATTCACAGACAAGGATGTCCGAATGACCTGAGGGTGCTGTTGCAGTGAGCCATGTTGCACTGCCCATCAGCTCGAACACGCGTCGCAAGCTGAGACTTACACGCTCCTTTCCCAGGCCTTGACAAGGCCATTCCAGGCCTGGGGCTTAAGAAAAGCGATTGCAGGACATTGCAGGGTCAGGTAGCAGCGCTCGGGCGCCGACCCAGGCAACTCCGCCAAGGGCCTCTGGCAAAAGCCAGGCATCCACCACTTCCGGAAAGCCTCTGCGGAAGAGCAAAGTAGAAGGAAAGCATGTTGTCACTCAGAAGGCCCCAGGCAGCTTAAGACCAGGTGAGAGATTGGCTCGAGGTCACGCTCCTCCGGCAACACGACCTGACTCTGCATGGGCTAACATTGCCACAGTCTCTAAGCCCAGGGATTCTCCCCGCCTCCAGCTTAGTGACAGACGGTGATGAGGTGCCAGTCTGAATACGCAAGGCCGCGAGACATGACTCGACGACAGTTCGTCAATTCGTCAGCGACTCTGCGGCCTCGACAATCATGGAGAACATCGACTCATCCTGGGAAAAGCGGGGTGCTTGTTTGGGGAAAAACGCGTGGTCCGCCCGATCCCCTGCCTCCACTCGTTCGTAGCCCTCGGCCATCCTGCACGCCAGGGGGCCCCTGAGCTCTGCACTCCGAGCGCACCCTGCAGCTAACGCCCCGCCTCAAGGGGACAGCGCGGCAGATGTGAGCCTGTCGTTGCTAAGCGCCCACAGGACTGAACTGTTGTGCACTGCTGTGCGCTTCCTGCCGGCCGGAGCTGCGCAGAGTCCCTGCAGCAGAAGTCGGTGGCTGCTGTGCAGAAAGTAGAGACTCGGCTCTTGCCGCTGGCCTCCTGCTCGCTCGGTCGGCAACACGAAGCCTCCACTGATACGGGTGTCTTGAAATTGCCTTTCTGACTAGAAAGGTCTTGCTGGGTCAGAGGCCTCCTCTCAAACCGGCGAGGGCCTCAATTCTGGATGCATTGCATGATGTCGTTGCCGCTGCCGTTGTAGGTACCAATCTGCAGGCTCTGAGCAGCAGGCCACCCCTGCACAAATTAACACGGTCCGGCTGCTTCTCCGTGGCCGCACAGTCGCCATGTCAGCGACAGAGGCTGTTTCTTGCTGAGGGGAGGGGTGTCACCTGCGTGATGGATGGGGGCGCGTTTGTGCATGCTGATTTGTGCTGACCGGATGTCACTCAGTGCTTTGAATCGTGCGGACAGCAGTCCCAGCCCACGCACGCCACAGGGACTCACGAGTTGTGAGATGCCAAACATGAGCGTCAGACACGCTGCCCATGCTTTGCAAGGGCTTGGTGGCTCGGTCCCAGGCTTCGATAAGCTTGGTCTTTCCAGTTGCCGCATCCCCGACGAAAAGGAGGTGGGTTGAAAGCCGCCTGAGCTACGACAAAAGCGAATCTGTTCGCAGCCTCCTGAGACTAACATCCAGGGTCGGGCTGCATCTTGGCTTCTTGGATGCCCTTCTTCCCCGCCGGTGGGGTCGCATCGCTCTCATCCTCCGGCATGAAGCGGGACCACCTGCCACGACATGAAGAAAGAGTAGTAGGGAGTACAGTTCTTCTGGGGAGTCATCGGGAGGCCTCGCCTCTCCACCTCTTCGGGCACAGGTGGATTGTAGGGACCACCTCCCACCAACGTCAGCAACAGGGCCAGCTTCGCCACCTGAAAACCATGCCAAAAAATGTGCCCAGGAACTCACTCTCTCTCCCAGAGCAGCAGCGTCAAAGACTCTCGGCCTCGAGGCCCTGGAGGCCTGGCACCACGCTGCGCAGGAGCTCCGCGCGCTGGGCCATCGCATCGCTGGGCGCTCCCAGGAACAGCGAACGCGACCGCGAGGGCACCTGGCACAGCCCAGCCCTGGAAAAAGTCGCCCGTTTCTTCCCTATCGAACTCCTGTTATTCAGGCAGTACAAAGGCCTCCTTTGAATGGCGGACGTCTGAGGCATCCAGGACAAGCTCAGCCACCGCCCTGGAACGAGGCCAGACGGCCCGAAGGATGCCACCTCTGAAGCGGGGTTCGGCTCAGAGACGGTTACCGCTTCTTGGCGCTGGCGCCTATGACCACAATGTCACCAGGCACTGCGCTGCCCGCAAGATCAGCCACCAGAATGACCTTCAACGTTGTGCCAACGCCTCCAGCAACGGTTCGAAAGCTCTCGATTCCTGCATGGGCCTGCATCCGAGAAACTCCCTGGTACCACATCTTGAAGCCGAATCTCCTGATAGTCTGTCATCGTACCTGTCAGCGCATCCAGAACCATCAGCAAAGAGCAGCAACCATCGAATTGAAAGCCGCCAAAAGAGATAGACATGATTTTTCTCCCGGGCGCCTCCAAGCTCCTGCAAATCCGTAGAGCCACAGAAAAGCCCATCGCCTGCTGACAAAGGCACGCAAGCTGCGTCCCTTGGAAAACACTCGATCTGCGCGGGCCTCCTGGGCAGTGTGGAGCCTCGTGTCCAAGCGCCCCCAAGGAGGCCACCGAGAAACTCGAAGCAAGCGGGTGCCAAGCCAAAGGAACACAAGAGCGCTTGGCCTGCCTGCGCCGACAAGCAGCGCACTGAAACGACCGAGTTGCGGCCACGGCCTTGACGACCCCTATCCTCGCCTTGGTCATCAACGCAAACAGTCGGATCTTGGTCTTCTGAAACAACGTCGGGTCTGCAGACGAAGCACAACCAAGCCAGAGGCTGTAATGAACTTTCCAACTAAGGAGTATCGAATCTCCTGTGCAAGTGGCAGCCCATGCAGGCAACTGACTGGGACACCATGCCCTGGCCTTCAGAGAACACAGCGACCTCGCCGCAAGAGCGCGGGGCACATGGCGAAAACGCAACTTCCCAGGGGGCCTCGGCCGGGCACGACGGGCAGGCTCTACAGTAAGGGGTACATGGTACACGTTGTGGTGGCCTGTCCACTCCCCTCTTCTTCAGCAGCTGGTGCACCGCCTTGCGACGGCGCATCATGCAGAGCTGCTTTCGACGATCTTCCGATGAGAGAGGAAAGCATGCCCAGGCCTCTTCCACCAGATGAATGCTCGAGTCGAACTCCTCCCAAACCCATTGAAGAATGTCAAAAACTGAGTGCTGTGGCACATGGTCAGAGACAGTGGGGCAAAGCGCCTGCCTGGCACCAAGTTCTTTTGAAAGCGATCACTCACTGCACACGAGTGAAACCTTATGTACATGGCCCAGTGGGCCCTTCGACTTGTATGACGAAGCCAGACAAATGGCGCGTCCTACAGGCAGAAGTCCTACACTCCCGGGGTCAGAACTTGTTGCAGCCATCCCTGCACTGCAAGGAACTTCTCCTCCACAAGGCGTCACTGAGACGACACTCCCGCTTGAAAACTTGGAATGCATATCCAAAGCTACCTGTCCGAAGTGCGCTGCCACGACTGCATCGCCTGAACTTAACACAGTTCGTCCAGGGCCTCGAGTTGCTGGCGCTCAGCAGCCAAAGACTCACCTGGAAGGCCGTGATCGGGCATGGTTTCTGCAGAGTTTACTGTGCATTTGGCTTGCCTTCACCGTCGGCAGCGGGATCAATCTCTTCTGCCGTGAACGTCGCCGGGTCGGCGATCTGACGCCCCTGGATGATTGAAACGCGTTTGGCACATCACGAAGTATCGATGAATTCATTGCGATAGTTGGCGCAACTTGATGTGTCATCTGCTTCATCAACCTAAAGCAGAAAAGAACAGGCAAACTGGTTGCTGGACAATCTTGGTGTGCAGAGTTGGTTACCATGCTGTGTTGAAGGGTTTACTCCAGCAAATTTCATGCGTGTCTCTCTAGCTGTTAGGGGATGTATGACTAAACCTCGGTCAACCTGGCCAGCCATTGACCCACAAGGATCATCCCAAGAGCTCGGCATCTCCCAGAACTTCAGCGCACTCGGACCAAGCGAACGTTACGAGCGCAAGGGCTGAAGATGCTCCGCCCTCCTCTCGACCCCCTTCCATAGTAATCCACTCTCTAAAACAAGGGAGGTCACCCAAACTGGAGCTTGGCTTCCGAGCCTGCTGCTTCCAGACCTATGTGAACATTGTACTGTGCATGTTCTGTACTGTAACTCCGTGCTCACTAACCTGGTCCCGAAACCAGCCCTCACCTTCAGTCTAACAGATGTGTTTAGAAGTACATGGCGCTCGATTCACCAGCTCGACAGCCACTTTTCCGAAATGCTCTGTACATTGACCGTCGCTTCAAGGCTCTCGGAGGCCTTTGTTGAAGTGTGGCTTGGGAAACCTTACACTATATTAGCGCTGGAGCGACTTCTGCACAACATCGGAACACATTCTTTGTTCAAAGGGTTCGGATCGGGTAGCCAGAGAAGTTATCGATTATTGATCGGCCTCCTCACGCGATGGCGGAACGTCGCCGAAAGCTTGTCCACGGCATTCCGCGTCCAAGCGGCGCCTGTAGAAGGAAGCGGCCCGGGACGAATAGCCTGAAGAGTCGCATGCGATCGCACGCTCAATGCCGAGAAGAAGACAGGCTCGGACTCGGACGTGCGTGGAGTGAGGAGTCTGCGGAGTCCGAGGAGTCGCAGAGGCCGAAGGGTGCCAAGAAGGCCCGGAAGCGGAGCGATCCTCCAAGCTCCTGCCATGAGTCACGAGAGATGTCACGAGTCGGAAAGTCGCGTCGCCACTCAGACTTTTGCACAAAACGCAACAAAGCCAGGGAGGCCATGCGTCGGAGCTGGGATGGCGTCCAGCGATCCATGGCCAAGCTTCGCACGAAGCTGAGGTGGACGCCCAGGCCACGGTGCCTTCCTCTACACGTGATAAGGTTTCCAGGGGTTCATGAAACACACGCAACACGTCCAGAAGCTGAGCAATTGACCGGCACAATCCACGCCTCAGGCTGCCCCCAGCCCCAGCCAAGGAGCTCGCGTTAAGGCTTTCGAAAGTCTGAGGTTGGGCACAGAGGTAGATGCCGTAGGACACAGAAGCCCACTCGGACCCCAAAGCGGAGCAATCGGCGCACACGCAGAGGTCCTGTGATGGGGCAGCTTGCCACGTTTTGCGAACATGGGGAGAGGAGTGGGTGGACAGACATGGTGCAGCGAATCCACTTGTAAACAACAAGCATTGTCTGTTTGCCTGCTTAGCACAGGAGGCGCAGAGGCGCGAAACACTGCCAACAGCAGGTCGACAACATGTTGGGCTCCTCCTCGGCTGCTTTGAGGAAGAAGGCCTGTGATTCCTGAGATGTGCAAACTGTTGGGGGCCCATGAGAACATTCTATGGAGGCCATCTCTGCTGAAGCGGGTCAGCACTGCTTGCCAGCATCTCTGATGATGAAGCAATCACCTGCCCATGCTGGTACCCGGCAGGCTCAGGACTTGAGTCAACGGCCTAGCCGAAGAATGGCCGATGGCAGGGCGTGTATAAGGCTTCTGCACGGCATGGTGCTTGACTTCTCAGCAGGAGAGTTTGCTTGACAGCACACGATGCGTCACGATGAGAGCCTCAGAATCTGCCCTGTTCTCGCCCAAGGCATCCACGCGCTGCAACAAGACCTGCACGGACCGCCAGACCTGGAGCGCATAGCGCGTGTCGCGGTGCCGTGTGTGTTTTGCAGGCAGACCAGTGATCCCAGTGACCCAACCACGACGGACCACGACGGACCACGCACTTTACCACTGTTAGTAACTTACTTAGTAACCTAGCTCAAGACTCCTGGTGGTCCGTTGGACTCTGGGACCCCGGTCTTGTTTCAAGGCGCACTCAGTTTGTTACGTCATTATCGCCAAGACCAGATCCGTAGCCTTGACAAACCTGTTCCTGCTGGATCCATCTCGTCCGAGGAGCAACAGTACCATACCTAATTCTCTTAATTCCCGCAATTCCTGCAAGTGTCCATGAAAGCGGGACGTTGCAAGATATGCTGACCCGCAGGCCCGCATGCAATTATGCTCCGACTGCCTTGCTTTAGGCTGCGCAGAAGTTCGTAGAGCACCACTCATTCACTGCCGCATGCTGCGGCGGGTCCGGATTGCATCGAGTCTTGGGGTTCTCTTGGGGAGTCGGCCCCGGGTGGCCTCCTGAGCGAGCACGGTCGCCTCCATCAGCTCTTCCGCCGCATCCTCCCGCGGCGGGGTCGCTTTGCCGGTCCCACGGCCTGGCCAAGAGAGCACAAGGTGCACAAGGCCGCAAGGAGAAGCATGCCAACTACAAGTAGTCAAAGATGGCAGATGTTTTGCTTCCATGCACCACACGCGACGGCAAACCCAAAGGAAAATCCACGTTGTTTTGCGCAGGCTGAGCCTGGCTGCGCGCCTGCCACCAGCTCGGCGAATTCCGCAGCTGCCTCCAATCGAGTCCGCTCCTGCGACATGGATTTTTGGGGCAAAAGGGATGCGATGTCAAGTAGGAGACCAAGAGTTGGGGGTTTTGGCGCTGCTTCGGGCTTCTGCCGACGCTCTCTGGCCCTGGCTCGTTCTCGCTGCATCTGCACAAACCAAAGTCTAAATTGAGTCTAAATCTCTTTCCTCACCCTGTCTTTGCTTCATGTCGCTTCTCACAGCTTACAGGCTTGTGAAGCGACACTAGGGTTCTCCGTGCGCGAAATGTATCTCTAATTTATCTGCTTCTTGTCTCCCAGGTGCCAAACAGTTGAAAGCAAAAGATTGACAGAAACCCCGCCCCGCTTATGCTGGACTTGGTTGCCCTTTTCTTGTGCTCATGTTCTGCACCTGCCTGAGCATCAAGCTGTGCGGAGCCGGCTGTCGAGAATCTGCTCGGAACTTGAACTGCTTTGCAGCTGCTGTGGCTGCTAACTTGCACTCAGGAGCGCTGTGGGCCAGAGCAATCTGCCCGTTATGCTCTTGACATGGTATCGCAGTTCCACCTGTCCCTCCCACGAAAAACTCTCCCGTGCCACCAAACCCGCGACCGAAAACCCACGCGCTTGTCCCGTCGCCGTGCGTCTCCTCCAAATGCCAACGCCCGACAGGCACGGACTTGGCCATGGCTCCTCCCTTGCGCTGCGCAATCTGCACATTCCTCTGTTTCGACAGCCAGGGCAAAAAAGTCTTCGCCCGCTTTCCACCCGTTCCCAGCCCGAATTTGTCCACCCCGCCCATGTCGGCTCTCTTGCCCACCATGCGTTGTCGAGACGCCCAAACCCTGGACAGTTGAGGAAAAGCCTGTCGGAGAGGACAGGTCCGACATGAAAGCACAAGCTGACAGCACGGGAAAGGGAACAGCATCAGACAGAGAGCGAGCGAGAGCGAGTGAGTCAGCACGAAACGTCTGGTAGAACGAGGAACGTATTGCCAAGCAAATCTCCTAATACCCGCCCCGCCCCACAGTCTTCGAAAAACCAAGCTCATGTCCCAACGAAGCCATGCAAATCCTACTTTGCCCACACGTTTTCCCGTCTCAAGATCTGGTCCCATCATAGTAGTTAGTCGCGGCCACGGTATTGGTTCCATGCGGACCGGTCCAAAGACTGAGTTGACTCCTCCAGGTGTGATGTTTTGGGGGGGATAGAGCGGATTACCATCTTGGAACCCAAAAAGCGGCATTGCCTTTGAGGCTTGAGGTGACGTTCGCCGCTCAGCTCACCTTCGTCTTCGGGTGCTGCCCTCCCCTGATCTGAGGCTGTCCATAACTGTACAGCAACAGGGACGAGAAGAGAGAAACCGAATGCAAAAGTAAGAGTAGGAGTGTTTAGAGCTCTCCTTGCGTACATAAGCGGCGACTTGCCGGCGTAGGTCGGAGGCCCGGCGCCTTCAGGCGAAGCGAAGCGAAGCGAAGTGAGGAGAGGGATCGACTTCGAGTGCTTGCGAGCGCTTCGCGTGAGGCATCGATGCCTGCGCTGGGTTTCGAGCTCCGTGCGCTGCTTGGCCTTAGCTGCACGAGATCCCGCTAACGACATGATGAGCCTAGCTGCCTGGCTTGCCTCGGCAGCTTTCGCCACATTCAAAGCTGCAGCAGCGCAGTCGCGAAACGCCATGGCCTTTCTCGGACTCGCAGAACCGACACTGCCGCCACCCTTTGGTGATGCCCTCGTCCCATTCCTTCTTGGACACTATCGAACTCGCACCGCACCATTGAATGACGGTTATCTGAACTCTATGACGCCTGGGCCGCCTGCGCCATGGGCCTTGGGCCCGGGACCCCGGGGGACCTGCCTTTGCTTTGCGGTCGCCAAGCTCCTCCGAAAAGGCCGCGCTGCCCCCGAGGAGTCCATCGTAGTGACTTTCAGCAGGGACGGAGCTTCCACATGCCCATGCAATGCCCTGCCCCGGCCTGGTGTTGTGGCTGAACTGGGCTTGAAGCTGACGAATCTGTTGATTGCAACGACTCGCCTGCTGGAAATCTCAAAGACACTTGCAAGGTCTCTTGGCAGAGGACATGCCTCCTGATCAAGCTGTGTGACCTCGGCGTCCAGCTCCTGTTACCAAGCAGAGCGCACACTCGAAGATGATCCGACGTGGCAAAAGGTGGTGCCTGCAGCCGCTTTGCGAGCTGCTCTTTCTCGTTCTGCAGCTGGCCACGGCGAGCGACAAAGGTCTCCTCAAACGACATCTGTATCTATGTCTGGTGCAACTTTTCGGCAGCCGTCCAGGAAGTAAATGCATGCCTGCCTGTGTCAGCATGACGGTTGCCATCTGACGCTGGACAGCACTGCCAGCATCAGACAAAGCCTGCGAAGCTTGTTGCTTCAAACTCCTCCCACATGGTTGAAACTCATGCACCTTCGCACACAGCTTCCCATCTGCGGAGTTAGAGGTTGGTCAAACCAGAAGAACCGGCAAGACGGAAAATTGAGTTCTTTGGCATCCTTACCCCCACCCCACGCCGCTCAACCACCTGCCCATACTCGCCCAGCTTTGTCAGAGTGTTCGCGCGCCAAACGAATCTGCTGACTGCAGGTTCGTAGCCTGGCCCAGCTGACGTGCTTCGTCACGAGAGCCCTGAACTCCACCTGAGATTTCAAACTCCTCGTTGCTGCTGTTGCTCCGATGCTCTTGGGGAACTTCGGGTGCAGAAGTGAAGCTGACCGATAATTCAGGCACGCAGCTGTCAAGGGAGTCCAATGCCAGGCTCGCATCTTGGATCAGCTGCTCGATCTCCTCTGCCGGCTGCGTGCTTGCTGTGCTCTGAGTGGCCCTCCCTCAGGCCCTCTTTGCGCGTGTGGAGCCTTGCCTTGCAGCTCACACCACCCATGCCATCAACAGTCCTGTGACTCAACGCAAGAGCAGAGCTCTCTCTACAACCCCTAAATGCACCGCTCACGCACAGGCATGCGAGTGCAGAAGCCTCTCTCAGCGACCGCTCTCTTAGTCCCTTCATAGAAGCATCTTTGGCGGTTACTAGTAGCCGGACCCGGACGGGCCCTGACCAAAGCCCAGCCCTGCGCACCTCAGCGCTTCCAGGCCGTCGCACAAGGCCTCGCTGCGGGACCGCAAGCGACCGGCCTCAGGCCAAAAGCCGCGTCTTTTGACGAAAGCCCCCCCCCCCCCCTGCAACTCCTAATGCTCTGGCGTGTGGCTGCATCCGGGAAGTCATAAGGGAAGCGGGATATTCAGGAATGGGTTTTGGGCACCTGGCATACCTGGCGGGTGTGCCCATTCTCTCCTCTCGACCCATTCACACACACAGTTCTTGTTGAGACGCTTCCAAAGCAAGCTGCGGGAAGCGCCTCCCAGATGCTTCGGGGACTGTGCTCTCTGAGACAGGCTGGACTCGGCAATGCAGCACCTCCGGATCAGCTCTGCTCGGATGCCCTGCTTGGAGAGTCCCTGCGCACCTGGCGAGGTGCGCAAGCTTTGTCCCGAAGGACCCGGACACAAAGCGAAAGCAGCAGATTCATGCCGCCTGTTGCCTTCAGCGTCGTGGAGCTGGCAGTGTCTGAACCTCCGAGCTCCTCGAACGACTCCGCTTCAGCGCAGGCGGCTGCAGTGCAGTGCGAGTGCCTCAGCAGCCGCAGTGTCCCAGCGGCGAAGCTGCGGCCAAAGTGACTCCAGTCGCCTGCACCAGGTCACCCAGGTCACCCCTCATACCCGCATGACCCCCCTTGTCTCCCACAAGGCCCCCGGCCAAGGCTTCTTCAATGCCGCGACGAGGCGCCGGGCCCAGGAATCCTCGAGTCTCCGCTCAGCTCGTGCGCGAAGGCTGCTCCGAAAGAGAGCGGACCCGTAGTCTGCCATCGCCAAGAGTCCCAGGGCAAGGCACCCGCTGAATCTCGCGAGAGCAAGGCGTCAAACCTCTGCCAAGAGGCTTCTTGACAAAGCGTCATGCCATGATCGCGGCGGAAAGCTGCTTCCGCAAGCCAAAGAAAGAGGAAATCTCTGACGACCCGCGAAACTGCTTGTCTAAAATCGAAAGAAACACAACCATGAGCCGACTAAGTGAAGACTCAGTTGCAGCGATGGCCACACCTCAAGAGCACCTTGGCAGCAGACTTGCTTCCGTACTCAACAAGCCCACCTAAATTCCCTACCTGGAAAGTCTTAAATCGAATTCCGTGCTCCAAAGTGTCGCTGAACTCAGACCCTGAGCAGGCCAGAACCACTGAAGCGCGCTGCACAGCAGATAAAATTGGCTCCAGCGCTGCAGATCACAATTAAGCAAGGTAAGGACGCCTGGTACGTGACCCGTGTTTGGTGGCATTGCTGAAACAGGCAATGTGCTAACACCTCGGGGAAACGCGCATTCAGGGTAAAAACAGTGCTGGGAAAGGCGTAGAATCCCTGTGACAGGTCGATCGTTTTCGGGACAATGGTGCAGGTGCTGCAGTAAAAACCACTTTTTCGAGCACCGCGTTGCGCAAGCTTTGTCAGCAGCACTTGTTAGCCGCTTTGCAGAACGCTGCAAGACTTGCGCACACAAAGTCGAAAAGTAGATGTTGAGACCAGACGAGATGGTCCGACATGACGAAAGTACTGCAAAAAAACGAGTAAGTGGATGTTTTGGGTGTACTGTTCGGGGTGTGCACGTAACAGTGTCGTCATCATCATCATCCCGCCAGCCCTCACCCCCGCCCCCACCGAAATGGTGGAGGACGCACAGGACGCACACCCGGGCTCCTCACCTTAAACAAGGCAGGATGGTGAGTCGTTACCCTGCAAGCTCGTGACGAGCCAGTGGCAAGCGGTGGAACTGCACCACTTCACCAGTGATCACATCAAATGAGTGTCGGGTTCGCCCCGACTCGCATTCCTTACTCTCGAATCATAGGAACACTTAAAGGGTCAGTTTGCAAGTATCATGTTCGGAACTCTAAACAAAATACTGGAAAATGCTTCCCGATGTCCTTTTTGGAGGTCGGCTAGAACAAACAATTAAAAGAAGTGGCTTTGGAAAGAAGGAAGAGAAACACAACAACGACCCAAACTTCTGGACCAGTCGCACGTCGTACCCTTTTAACGAGCTGTGAAAAACATTAAGTTGTCGAAGCCCAAAGAAGCATGTAGCAATGTGGATGTTGAGACCCGGAAAATCCAGCAGCTTGGTTTCTGACTGGAGGAAATGTGTAGGAAAATCTGGGTTTTTCCAGGTCCGTGCCTGTGTTCTGGCTGTGGGGAAGGCGGCCTGCACTCTTTAGACACTTTATGTGCATGCCTGACTGTGTTTGCATTCATTCCTACACCAGCTTGCAGGCTTTGACATACAGCCTACAAACATCAAGCAAGGGCACCAGGGAGCAGCAAGCGCTCCGCCATGCCGTGCAGCGCCTTGCAACAGCTTCTGCGCGTCAGACTATAGCTGGTCTTCACCAAACCGATCTGCTGTAGAAATCTTCACCCATGTGTTTCTCCACAATCAGATTTTGTGCGCAAGAACCTGCCGAACGAGCCCCTGCCTGCCGTAAAGACTTGCTTTGCTCGAGCAATGCCGAGGCAGAGGCAGGGCCTTGTGGAGCGCAGGACATCCCAGTCGCACTGGAGCTCGCAGTGCCGCTCGCAAGACTCGCAGCTCTCAGCACCGGCCTGGCGTGAGGGCCTCACGGACCGATGGGACTTTGGCGCAAACCTCCAGCACGAGTTCCTCGCTGAGCCGAGTCCGCTAGCGTTCCATGCGTCGCTCTGCGTCGCTCTGTGCAGCCTGGCTTCAAAGGCAGAGCTTCTCAGCAGGACCTGCTGGAAGGAGAGCTGCCAGGCTCGAGCGCCTGCCAGAGTTTTGCCCTCCGCACGGGACCCATCAGCCGCGTTCCCCTCCGCACCTCCTTGGGAGCCGCTCGCGCCCTGGCACTGCACGTAAACCTTCGGCCAAGCTCCGTCGGCTACACAAAAAAGCGGAACTGCGCCCAATGAAACCTCCGAGCTGTTGCATTGCTCCAGCCAGTGTGACAGCAGCCAGGCAGCCTGAAAGCTGGACTCACAGGGATACAACGAACTGTGCCTCGCGTCGAGTGCTTGTGTTCCGATTGCCCCGCTGTTCGGCCACACTGCGCTGTGAGGTGATGTGAGAGCGCGAGCTCTCTGCTCCAGCGTCTGCTGCGCTTCATCGGCAGCTGGCCAAGCCTCGCAAGTGGTGACTTCAGCATCTTCCATGAAGCTTTTCTCCATCACAGGAGCAATGGCTCTTGACAACTTTACAGCGCGCATAGCGCACCTGCCGGGGTTCCTTCACCAATGAAGCGACACGCCCCGTCAGCCAGGAAGCCATGCTGTTTCAGAGCTCGCGGGCTGGTCGTTGCATGCTTTCATCTGCTGATTCTGAAAGATGTGCAGATTCTAGGCAGGTTGGAGCAGGGAGAACAATCTTATCAAAGCTCAACTATGTCATATGCATGATTGTTGGGTCTAGGTCTACTACATCGGATACTGCATACGATTTTACGGCCTTTGTGCGGTTTCATCTGCTGACGCTGCGTGATGTGGCTGTTTTCGCGCCTGTTTGGCAACTGCTGCACCAGGCACATCGAGGAGACATGTCCGCCGTCAACTGACTGCAGCTCTCGCAGCGCTGAAGCGGCTCAGGAGAACCCGGAACCTCAGATGCCTTGGTCCTAAAAAGCATTAGCAGCCATTAGCATGCTTTCCAGGTGACTGAGCGACTTTGCAGCGCCACGGCTCTCAAGGCTCTGCTGAGAATGTGCTGTGCAGTTCCAAAACATCGAAACTGCCTTCTCTGCGCTTGCGGCCCTTCGAAGTCCGATAAGCAGGTTTGCTAATCCCAGCCCTGGCAGCTTTGGTTAAGAAAGGCAAGTCGCATGCGCAGCATTTCCACACATGTACCGGCATGCTCCTTGAAGAAAGCGATCGTCAGTCGCGGCTGGGCTTCCAGCAGCGAGCTGGCATCTACGATCCTCAGAGCGCCCAAGTTATGCCGGTAGCAGCAGCACTAGCAGCAACGGCAGCAGCAGCAGCAAAAACAAGTAACTAGATTGTTCAGCAGGCAGAGTGACAGTAGCCCTACATAGAAGCATTGCAACCAGCACAGCAGGCCAGAAATCGAAGCCTAAACAGGCACAGTTGTGATCGCAAGCTGGTCAATAGAGTGCCGGTAGCAACACGGATGGTGCCTGCATCAACTCTCTGTCGCCAAGCATCACTTCGCCGCACCTTGATGGGTGCAGCAATTGGTCCTTATTTGCTGCATGGGCTAGAGCACTTGGGCCAAGTACTGCACTGCTTAAGCCCTGCTGGGGTTTGGGCGACAATGGCAGCACTCAAAGTGGCGAGAGCCATAGCAAAGCTGCAAACGGTTCCCTGTGCTCAACTTCGGCTGAGTGTCTACAACATCCACATTCTACACTCCATGCACCACGAAGTCACGAAGTGTTGTGCTGCATTTCCGTGCGATGCAAGAACAGCGCCCCGGCTGCCGCTGCGCAAGGCCATGCTGCGTGAGGCGCTGGACCGTAGATATTCACTGAGAGTGGTTTGATGAACTTCCTCTCCAACTGACAGAGTGTCTGAGGGAAATTCGCCATTTTTGCGTTCCCCCATCTGTAGGACTAGCACTTGGTGCTGAGCTCATCGTGTCTTGCTGTCAGCTGCAGTTTTCAGCGCAGGAGGCACCGTGCCAGCATTTCGGTCTCTTTCTGCCGCCGTGGCTGCTCAAGCTTGGGTTTTGCTGTACCTGACAGGGCCTTCGCACACAGCAGACTGCGAGGCCTCCGAACTTCTGCGCATAGTGCGCGGCATGAGCTCACCAGGCGACGAAGGCTCAGGTGAACTCTGACTTTGTACACACAACGTACGACTACATCAACACATGCTATAAAATGCTGTTCGAAAGCATGGAAAATCCTGGCTCGTGTGGCCCAGTCAACATGTTGCATGGTTTAACTGCAACAGCGGGAACAGCACATCCGTCGCTGTTGTGAGCTCGCTCCTGATCCCAGTCTAGTTGCAGAGGAGGAGCGGTCGAAGCTGTTGCAAAACCCTCTGTGTATCCGGCCGGCCTCATGCGTCGATCTTCTTCGTCTCAATGTCGTTGACATCAAGTTGGACACCAAGGGGCCGCAAGCCGCAGTAGTCTCGATTGCCGGGCTTTGCATCGTACTGCTGGTGGAAGGACTGGCGCAACAGCAACCAAGAATCATTCATTCCAGACTTGATTGGCTGCAATCTCACAAAGCGGCTCTGCCTCCGCATAGTAAAAAGTCGGTGCAGGCTCAATCTCAGTTGAGATGGATCCTTTTTTTCAAGTCTGACACTTCCCACTTTCTCGGCGGATTCCCAGCTTCGAAGGTCCAAGTAGCGGCCCCACGCGGCATTGGCTTTCTTTATCGCCTCCTGGTACCGCGCCTTGGTCTCCTGAAGTGCCAGAGGAGTAGAAAAAAAACCCACAGGCGCGCAGTCTTCGCTCCTCGGCCAGCAGTCTCTGCTCCTCCGAGTAGTAGTAGATGCCTTTGAGGAGATCGCAGAACATCTCCCGGCCCTGCCTTGAGGATCTGCACCTGACCGGTACTGCGTGCCGAAGTCATTCCCTTGCTGATTCAGCGTAGTCGGATCCTCGGCTGTCAGTCGCTGAAACACGACGGCCCAGGGTCGGCGACCACAAATGGGGCTGCAGCGTGTTTCTCCCAGAACTTCTGCAGGAGCTCAACGTATGAGACTTTCTCAGGATCATACACTACCTCACCCAACCGAAAGGGAAAGTGTCCACTATGGGCAGCTCGAAGCAAAGGGGTCACTGAAGTCCGAGGCGAGAGCTCTGACCACTTCGTTGTGATTCGTAGCTCCCGTGCAAACGTCACCATAGGTGGGATTCTCTATGCCACCGCCGGCATAGCCTACCTGTGTAGAGTACACGCCCGGCACCCTCATGAAGATGTTCTCGGAACCTTGCAAGGGCTGCTATGGCACTATGCCAACGCGAGGCTTGTGGGCAACTTGAGGAGCGAACACCAGAAGCAGCCCATGCCGAACATGGCTTCCTTCATCCCCGCTGGCCAGGGAGGATACATCTGGCCCCCTGTGATGTAGTGTCTGGCATTCTCCTGAGGCTCAAAAACCACCGAGCGCGGAAGAGGCGACTCCGCTTTGGTCCTGCGGAGCATCCTTGATCGGCGTTGGAGAGCCTGGAGCAGGAAACGCGTCTGGAAGCGATTCGACCGCTTCAGCGCAGCAGGGCCTTGGGGACTGCCGAAGAGGCCTCGATATCTCAGGCTGGGACATGGCAGTGCAATGCAATCCTCTGGCCACCGGGTAAGTGCCCAGCCACCGAAGAAAGCACGAGATACGCGAGAGCTCCGGTCTGAGGGCTGGCTGCCAATAAAGCTCCTCGAGGCACAAAGGGGCTACCGTCAAGCTGCGTGGTCGTCGCATCTCCGTCGCTTCTCCTTGAGAGAAGAGTTCCAGCTGCCAAGGCCATGACGACTGGAGTCGCCCGCCAGCGAAAGCGCAAGGCGCCTCAGACGAAGAGCAGCAAGGTACCGCCACCACCACAGGGTTTCCCCTCTCGCCTGCTCGTCCCCTACGCATTGCCGCGGCAAGACGCATCTCCTTCGTGTGAAAGCTGTGGTTCCAGAGCAGCTGAACAATTCAGCAACTGGCCTGCGCCCGCAGACTTTGCGGAGCAACTGAAACGGCGAAAGAGTCTGAAAGGCTGCGAGCCAAACAGTAGTAGTTGAAGGTGAGGCTGAGTCTGGATATGTGTCTGCGACAGAGAATCGCTTCCACAGAGAAGCTCGGACACTCCAAGTTTTGTCGGCAGCACAACTCCGCTATCCAGTGTCATGGTGTTGTCCAGGGAGCACATGGTTCCGGCACTCATGGCTTCGGCATTATAGATGGCGAAAGGCATGACCTCCCTGGTTTTTTCACTCCTTCGCGGCTCTACTTACACGAAACTCTTCAGAGTCGCGGGTCAGCACCGAGCGAAAACATGCAGAGCACCTAGAGTGATCTCCCGCTGCAAGCTCTCAGGTCTCAGATCACAGTCTCCTCGGTATCATATTGTAGCAGGGAGAAGCGGCATCGTGCGGTCTCCACCTAACTCGGTCTCACACCACACTCTTGGGACCGTCCGCTGCCGCTGAAGCGATGTGGAGATGATAGCCCGGGGGTCCTGAAGACTGACCACAAAACTGATTAGCGAAGCGACTGACGGCCAAGCAAACCTAATCGCTTCCACCCTTGTTGCCCAACCCCGCCAAGATGAAAAGGTCGCAGGCTGCTAGGTGTCAGGCCAGTCAGCATGTCATCTAAGAACCGGAAGTACCTCTTGCACTTGCAGCGCCGCTGCCATCGTTGGGAAATCTTGAGCGGAACATGTCATGAAACCACTTCACGAAACTCACAAGACTTGGGCAGGCGGGAACAGCAAGCACACCCGAGGCACCCCTTGTCGCCCCACTCGTCACCCCAGGTGTTGCGTAAGTGCCAACACCTCAGTGTCTCTTGGTGAAGCCAGTGAAGACATTATACCTGCTTCCGAAGAGACCTTTCGGTACCTTTCCAAGAGTGAACCGAGCAATCGACTCGCCGGTGCTTTGCCGCCGCCGGCTGGAGCCAGGGCTGCGCCTCAGAGCTTTCCAGATGAACCAAACGCTCACACACACCCACACACACACACCCACCTACCTTAAGCCGACATTCATCTGCTTGCGCCGCCCGGTATTGTTGGGAGACTACGTAGAGTCCGCTGAACCTTCGAGTCAAGTCGGTTCCCTTCAGGAGCTGAAGACGGCCCGGCTGCGCGCACGATTCCGTGCTTCCGAATTCACGTCTCCTCTGGAAAGAGACGGTGTGACACCGATGACGATGAAGCGTGCGATCTGCCCTCACCGAAATGGAAACCGAAGACTCTGTGCTGAGAGGTCGATTAGCACAGGAGCCCAAAGAGGCCTTCATCGCCAGGAGCAGTCAAACAAGTAAATGTGAACTCCCTGGGTTTTGGTGCCACATCACTTGTTCGCGTGGTGGATGTTTCGCGCAACCCTCTGGTTGGATTTGCAGGGCGTGGTTGTGGTGCCAGCGTGAAATGAAAGCTGCCAGGCTCTTCAAGTTGTTCAACTGTTTGAAATGCTTTGACACGAAGGTGGTGGCACCAACCAAAAGCGCTGGTAGAATTGAAGGATGCTCGAGCTCGAGCCCTTCAGGGCGGCTGGGTCACCCAGCGATGGGCGCATGTGTTCTGCTGGCCGGGACAAAGCTCTGCAAGCAAACCGAAACCTTGCAAGCAAGCAGAGCCCTGGAAGATGCGACGCTTAGAGCTCTCAAATCCTCTGCAAGAAAATCCTCTCAGTTGAAACCGAGAAGGAGCAGGAGTTCCCAGCAGTCCTCTGGCGTTGCCAGGTGAAGAGCCATTCTATCACGACGCACTGAGAAGGAGGCTGGACAGGATCGTTATCTCCCGGGATTGCGATCTTGTCCTGACATGCGACAAACGTCAACCGAAACTGTCACCGTCTTCAGGCTGGTTGCAGGTTCCAAGCTGTGGTGCATGAATGTAAGCAACCATTTCGAATCCATCTGTCAGCGTCGGAAATAGAACGTCTCTCATTGCTGTGTCTGCATGCCGTCACATGCTTGCACTCTGAATCTTCAAAGATAGCAGGGTTCGGGGATTCACAGGCAGGGTTGCAAGTAAATGCCCCTGCGAATGTCATGCATCGCTGTTTCAGCAGCCATGGGAGCTACCAGTACACAACACAATGTTGAGCTGACTAGCGTTGCTACAAAGTTTGTGTCAGTGCATTGCTGACTCAGTAGGAGCATCTTTGGAAAGCTTCCCATGGGAGTAAAAGAAAACTTCATGAAGTCCTTGGCGCACCTTCCAAGCCTCAGCCATTGTAGGATCATGCTGAATGGTCCTGTCGTCTTTTCTGAGGTCCGCGATGCTACTGCAAACAGCACGAATCCAGCTTGCAGTCTTCACAGAATCCAACCGACTGCCAGCTGTATAGTTAACCCCAAAAAGTTGGAAACCGTATTAAGGACAAATAGTGCTGGGATTCCTTATACATTACTCTTCCGGATTGAGGCTATTGGGTTTCCAACTTCTGGGATTCTACTGTATCTCTGTACAAAGTGACAACGGCTTGGACTTTCAGGTTGCGCCATGAAAGGTCGGGAAAGTGCTCTGGCAACTCGCAAAAGATGTGAGGCTAGTGGCCGTCGTCATTGGACGTGCCTGTGGCCACGGAGTCAGGTCGTGAATTCCAGAAATTCCAAATGAGGGTTTGCTGAGTTTGAACCAGGCTCCTGTGGTCCAGAGGCATCCTTGAAGGCCCGCCAAGCCTCTAGGACTCTAGGACTCCAGGCTGCGAGATTTTGCAAGGGCCTTTCGGGCGCGGCTGTGGACTTTTGTCTTAAAGTCCGCCTCTCTGTCCCCCTTTTTCGTGATTCCTCAGCCACGCTGCTGGCCTGGCAAGCATGCGGCCATACGGGGAGATTCATTCAAAACAGAGCGACAATCGCTCGAGCGACAACCGCTCGAGCAAAGTATATACAAGATGCTTCGACTCGCACATACTCAAGACCTCTCAGCCAACTGCAGCATTAGCTGGCTTTTCCCCGCATATGCTTGACAGTTTGGTCCCTGTTCAGTTCCACACCAATGACTAGCTCCGAAAGAATCGTGGTAAGGCAAATGATAGCCAAGGCAAACTCTGAGCGGGTGGTTTACAGGGACCTTGGGCGCTTCAGGGAAAGTTGGCACAGTCTCGTCGCGAGGATGAAAGGTCACCGAGACTGTTTGGAGGCCGAAAGCCAACTTCCACACGATACAGTGTGGCAGTTCTTTGACCTTCATCCGATTCCCCCGACGACTGTGGTGCGAGCCTTCTGCTCCAGCTCCGGGAGCCCGGAGCTGGAGCTTGAAACGGGCTGGTCCAGAAGACCCAGGGGCGGCATGCGTGCTCTGCGCTTTTGTTTTTGCAAACAGGGAATCTTCAGAGTCTGAAGTGTCGATACATTGCAGCTCGCACGTCGTGCAGTCAGTGTTGGATTGCAGAATCATTATGTTCTTGGTGCTGTGTGCCTGTGAAATCTAGGAACCTGATTGAGAAGCCGCTGGTTCCTACTCGGATGAATTGAACTTCTTATTCCAAGGATTTGGAACCAGGGTCTCTGAATCAAGGTCCTAGATTATCGCACATCTGCCGGTTTTGAATTTACAAAAGCAGGCAGCACCAACATGTCAGCATAAACTGTGCAGCCATAGTTCAGTGGAGCAGCTCCAGTCTACAGACAGGCAGTCACAGCGACCCGTGGGTAACCAATGGGGCCCGTGCTTCAAAACCAGTGCAGAGAGGATCCGTCGTTGCTGGTGGCCGCAGGCAGCTTGGCACGAAGTCGGGCTGTCGCCATCGTCAAATCGTCCTCTGCATACAGAAAGAGCACAGGACACCCGCGTGCAAGTGCACTACACCGGCCGGTCCAGGAAGTCCGTGTCGAAGTCGCTGCGAGCGAAGATCAGACTCGCCAACGCATGGAACGGCATTTGCTTCAGGACCTAAGCACGAAAACGAAGACCTGGTACATGGCCAACCCCCATGCACTATGGCGGTGAGGTACGTAGCCCAACTTGTCGACCTTCCGGGTGGTGATCGATTGAATTGCATCCCCTGCTGGCGCGAGATCCTGCAGCCTCCGTGCAAGAACGTCCAACACCTGGAAAAGACAGCGGCATCTGGGGCGCTAGAGGTCTGCACACTTTGAAGCCCACTGCCTCGTTGGCATCATCTGCTGATTGAAACCGCTTCGATCGCTCCAGCATGTGAGGAAGGAGCAACTCAATCATTTCAGCCTCAAGATCGCTTGCGCCACCCACGAATTTACATGGCCTGCCAAGAGGACCCATGAGCCTCACCCAGCTTCTGGAAGATCTTCCGCTGCCTCCAAAGCACATCTCCCGCAGAGGGGATGCCCAAGCAACAAAAATTGTGGCAGGTATGCGATCGACAGTCCCTGGACGCTGTGGGGTTATGGACATGGATGAGTATGCTTAAGAAGATGCATTGCTGCATCCAGTTTTGCAGAAGCCCCCGGATGTGTCGGATGCATGCGCACTCGCTGTGTCCTTGGACACACGATTGGTCACAAACGCATGCGCTGAAACGCACAGGAACAGACAAACAGAGTTTTCGTTCGCTTGTCGTGTAATACAAGGGTTTAGTTCAGCGGTTTGGTGGTCACGAGACGCAGCGAAAGTCAGAAACTTGGAAAGATTCATGCGAGTTGTTTGGAAGATAGATTCGAAGCATTGTAAAGCATTTGGGCAATCACGTTGGATGACAGACAAGTAGGTAGTAGGAAGAGAGGGAGAAAGGGGAGGGAGGCGGCGTGGGGAGGAACAGGGCTACAACAGGGTCTATGACAGGTGGACAGGGGTTTAGGACAGGGTCTATGACAGAAATGGACAGGGCCTTTTGGACAGGGCCTATGACAGGGCCTATGGACAGGGCCCATGACAGGGGTGGACAGGGCCCATGGACAGGGCCTATGAGAGGGGCCTCTGACAGGGGCGCACAGGGCCTATGGACAGGGCCTATGACAGGGGTTGACAGGGCCTATGGACAGGGCCCATGACAGGGGTCCGACAGGGTGGAACAGGGGAGAACAGGGCCCGCCACAGGGCCTATGATAGGGGTAGACAGGGCCTGTGACAGGGCCTGTAACAGGGGCGGACAGGGTCTAGGACAGGGCTTCTCACAGGTTTAGGGTAGGCTGTCGTGTGGGGTTCTTTATGCAGAAACAAGACGAAAGAGCTGGGCGGAGCTCACCAGGCACAGTTGCGGTTGCCATGTCGGCGTCAGGAAACTATCTTGGTGGATCCTCGTGCTCGGCCACGTGCCGAATCGAATGAACACCATGATGAGAGCCAGCACCAACAGCGACTACAGCCACGCCAACGACGACAACAGCCTTTGCTTATGGCCGCTGCCGCCACCGCCACCACGACCACTAGTACTCACCACACCTACCACGACTCCTCCTCCTCCTCCTTCTACTCCTTCCTCTTCTCCCACATTGCTACTCCTACTCCTACGACTGCTACTGAAGCTGCTACTGAAAGGGGCACGCCTTGGTAGAATGCAACTCGTCTACTGCTGCCAGCTGTTTGTTGCGATCAAGCGACGAGTCCTTGCGTGACTTGTTGCGCCCGTTGCTTTAGCCTAGAACTAGGCTGGCGCAATAGCCTTCAAGGTATCAGACTACTAGCGATGCCTCTTGCACCCGCAGCTGGCCAGTACTACTGCTATTGCTACGACGACGACGACGACGACGACGACGACTACAACTGCGACTGCACAATTGTGGGTGGGTGACAACTGAAAATTGGACACTAAAAAAGGGTGATCCAGTTCAAACCTGAACCTGCGACATTCCACAGCGATTTTCTGTCCCATCGCACGGCTGCAGCATACATCAGACCCCGGCGTGAAGCCTTTTGTCCAACTTGCCAATCGACTCGCGATGAGCCAAATGACAAAATCCACAATAGGCTGCCTGGCAAGAGCTGATGGAATCATCGTGAGACAGACTTGTCTACCCAGCGGTAACAGTCCCACCTTCGGACATGGACCCCAGGTGAAGTACACGCATGGGCGGCTGCACATCTCGGGGTGTCCAAACGATCCGATGCTCGGCGCAATCAAAATCTCGTCGAACGAAGAGTCGAGGGATCTCTGCGAGTCCATAGACGGAGTCCTTCAAATGCTATCACCCAGCATATCCCAACATGACGCGGGTGACAAGCGGCTGATCCTTGTTACCTCACTCTCGGAGGCGTCATCACTTCCCTTGAACCTTGCATACAACTAATGCACTACCGCACGGACCGTGTCTTAGGAGCCACTTCAGGGACTTTGCTCAAGCTTGCTACTGCTCGGGCTGTCGCGAGTCACACTTCACGATCGCTTTCTCGTCGAGAGGTGATGTGTCCGACCGGCAGATCAAGCCCACCGGAATTGGAGCTGCAACAACGTCCTGCACTTGCTGTCTGTTGGGATGCCCCTTTACTTACGGGGCAGATGTCAGCACAACATAGTGCAAAGAAAGATTGCATGGAATTTGCGAGACACTGTTGCAGCTGTGCTGTCCACTTGCGTGCTTGTCTGTCTCCATCTTTCGCATGTCAAAGGACGATGGCGCGAGGATGCGCGCACATGACGGCGGCTCGCTCCCGCTCGCTCTCTCTCTCTTGCTCACTTGCTCAGGTCTTAGGGCAGGCCTACCGTACAGTAGCAGACCCTGCCGCGCGATCCCGGGCAACCGGCTCTTGGGTTCGGGCTCTCCCCAGAAAGACAAGAATTCACATAAGAAGTTGCAGCATCCCCGGAGAAGAGAGAATTTGCCGCGGTGGCACCCCGCGATTTCAAACACACCTTAGTGCACACTAACCGCCTCTGCCCGTCTGCCTCACCTCCCCCTAACCTGGTGTTAGCCCTTCTCTTTGAAGATGGTGGAGCGACCTCCACCCCGCGCTCCGAGCGCCCCCCATATGTTGTGGGGATTTAGAATTTAGGGGGTTCTGGGCCCTAAACCCTGAGCCCGACTGCATCGTAAAACAACTGCACGGACCTCAGCTCCAGTCAATGGTTCTTCGTATATTCTCCGGTCACTGCCGGCCGCCCCTTGGGGTCGGTGGAAGCAGCGGCAGCCCCTAATCCGGCAAGGCCGCCATGGTCCAGCGCAGAAGCGTTCCAGCCAAAGCTTTAGCTTTCCCGGCGTGCCGCCGGTGCCACCCGACCCCGCATCCTTGGACATCATCGGACCCCATGTTTCCCTTCCTGGGGGCTGTGAGAGGGCATCGGGCACGCTCATCTTCGAAGCAGCTCCGATGAGGCTCCTTCCACGGCATGATGTGTTTTGTTAGGGGTTTTGGAAGCCGTGGCGGGAGCGCATGGGAGCGCATCATGAGCATCAGGGGTACCCAGTCGAAAAGAAGCTCCAATCCCGTCGATGATGCTTCTGGGGTCGCCTCTAGGCGGCTTCAAAGGCCGCAAGGCCAGGGAAAGGAAACAAGGTGACAATCTGCTGATGCCTGCGTTGCACGTGCGCAGGGAGGGGGTCGTGCGGAGCACGTATGGCTTTGGTCCGGCATGGCTGTCGTGGTCCCGCGCGGTCGAGGGCTACTGTAAGGCCATGCCGGCCCGTGCCGCCAGGCCCGAAAGGAGGGACTTAGAGTTTGGTCAGCCCAGCTCTGAAAACACGGGCATCTGATGCATCCTCACGATCCCACGCAGCTTGATCCGCCTCTGGAAACCTCAGCTCCCCAAGGCCACGGTCCAAAGCCGTCCCGGTGTTTCAACCGAAGGCCTGGAACCTGCTCGCAGCCGAGAGACATTGGCACGAGGCCTGGAGGAGGAGCAAGGCCAGGTGGTGGCTCGATGCCGCTCATCCTGCCGTTGTGCTAAGAAAGCCCTCGGAGTCAAGAGGAAAGGCAGAGAGAGATCTGAGCTCCAAAGGATCGGAAGGCCTCGCAAAGTTCATCTTCAAGTTTGCCATCAGGCCTCCGGGCTGGCGAAGAATGCATCACGTCTTCGGCTGCTGTGATGATGATGAAGATGATGGTGAGTCTTCCTACAACTGCAAGTTCGTGTCTTTACTATACTGCTGACCTGATCTTGTTCTCAATACTCAAGGTTGCTAATTCCACCCAAGTCCCAGGAAACCTCCTCCTCTTCCTCTTTCTCTTCTGCGTCTAGTTCCACTTCCACTTCTACTTCGACTTCTACTTGTACTTCTGCTGATTGCACTTCCTTCTACTTCTACTTCTGCTGATTGTACCTCTTTCTACTTCTGCTTCTACTTCTACTTCTGTGTCTACTTCTACTACTGCTGCGACTGCTGCGAGAGCTACTACTGCAAAGACCTTGGCTTTACTGACGACGACGACGACGACGACGACGTCCACTGCTGCTACTCCACTGAAGCAACTGCTGTTGCAATGTGTTCGCTTCTGCCGTTCACAATATGGCTTTGCACTGCATGGCATCTCAGAAGGGCTACTAATGTCACTATGGTTTTCTAGTTCACGGCCTTGCACTCTTGGCACTCCCGCTGCCTCGGTGTTTTCGGAGGGAAGGCGGCGCCAAAGCTGTGGAGCTGACTCTCGTTTGAGCAGAGCTGCGTACAACAGTCGAAAGAAGCTGGAGAAACCGAAGATCAAGAACGAGAGCAACGACCACGTTGTCGATGAGACTTTGTAGTTCGTGTTAAACAGAGAAGCTGTTCTCAAGGTCGATTTATGCCACTGCAGCAGTCTGCAGCTCTGCAGCTTGCACAACGACACAGACGCAGAGGGCATGAGAGAGGAGCTACCTCGCACTTCACTATCAGTCTCGTCTTCTTAGCATGCTTGCTTTATTCGATGGATGGGCAGCATGTTGGCCGCAAAACGAGTGGCAGTCCCCGTGGTACTGACAGCTGCTTTCCCAGCCGACGAGGACGACGGCATGGCCACCCTGCCAAGGCAGGTCGCTCGCGCATGCTCGCGCTGTGGTCGTGAGCAGTGACACAACCGTTGACTGTGGGTGGGTTGGGCTTGCAACGCAGACCTGCATGGCACCCCACTGATAGTTGTAGCCATGCTCAGGCCAGAACCTGAGACGACAGGGCCGTTTCAAGTTTCAGCTCTGAGCCGGTCTGAGCCTTCATGAAGCACTGTGAACGGCGATTCCATGACAGAGATTAGGCTGCAGCTGGAAGAACCAGGTAAAGTCCTCGCGGAGACAGAATCCCAAACACTGACTATCCACGGAGGAAGGCATCTCAGCCGAGTCGACCCCAGCCTCGTAGACATAGTAGCTGGTGTAGAAAGGGCCATCGTTGTAGATCTCCATTTTGAAAACATCCTGCACCATCACGCACAAAAGAACTGACTCAAGCTCTGAATGGTCCCAGCAAGCAGACGATGCCGTAACACATGCCAGCCCCGTCTTTTCAAGCATATAACCACGGCGGGATGCTGATCACTACTGACTGGTGCACATGGACAGCGTTCTGCATCTCTGTTTCTGGTATTAGTTGATGAAACCTGCCGTCATCCTTCTGGTTGACGATGTAGTGGTACCTGCGGAAGACTGTATCCAGCATAACGGCATAGCGACAGCTTATCCTGTTTTGTCAATGTGTGGTGCGCCTCGTTGCCTTGTGCGGCTGCGGCTCTGCCAAGCATCGATCCCTGCTGCACTGCTCCTTCGGACTCAGAAAGCGGACCACAGGCGGAAGGACCGGGCACCGGAGGCACATGAAGACAAGGACACCGGGACCCCTCTCGAGGCCTTGCTGCGGAGAAGAAAAAGAAACGTGAGCACAACGATTCAGAAACGCGTAGAACGGCCAGGGAATGTTGCACCAGAGACCGGAGGCAGGCAGTGCGGCAGACAGATGCTGAAAGAAAGAGAGAGGCAGGATCGGGCAGGCAGACAGACGGGGTGCACCACTGAAAGAAGAATTGCATTGCCTACACAGAGGAGCCAGGAAGACCCGCAAAACCTCCGAAAGAGCGAGTGCACACGCGCTTGGCACGAACCCAAGCAGCTCCACTGTGGTCGTCGTAAGGGTCACCGAGGAGGAGCCCTCAGGTCACTGGCTGGGCCCGTGGCTGAAATGTCTCGAAAGAACTGCATCGAGGAATCGAGGCTGCTGCAGACTTGGAATTCGAGTTCGAGTTCCATGAACCGCCTGCTTCTAGTCGGCAAGGATGTGGCAAGGAACAGCAGGTGCCACGCTGTCCGTCCTGGGATATCGGAGTTCCAGCCTTGGGTTGTGCTGTCCTGCCAAGACAGCGGAGGAAGCCTCTCCCGCAAGCCACCAGACGCAGCGCAGGTCCTGAGATGGTTTTTCCTGGCAACACGCTTGACCAAGCGCGCCACTCTGAACAAGGACGGCTCTGCTCGGCCTCCTCCGGACTTCCAAAGAAGAGGCTGGAAAGCCAATGGAAGAAATTGAACCTGCCAAGAGTCAATCCATGTCCGTCAGAATTCCAGTGCGAAGCCTCGTCCAAAATCGCTCAAACGTGGCGGGACACACCCACTGTTCTCCTCATCGTCATCATCGTCCTCGCGGCGATGCTCCTTTTTCAAACATGGCTCTGGACCCATGGCTCTGGACTCGGCTCTGGCCCAGCCTGGAGCAGAATCGACGGAACTCCGCTGCCGTCGCCATGGCCTCGGCCTCGGCGAGGCCGGGAGCTTCACGATGACCAGCTTCGCCGTTCTTCGCTTGGCTCGCTGCTGCAGGGTGCGTTCTTGTTGGCATGGAACCTCACGGCGGACATGGAAAACACGGCACAAAGGACGGCTCTTGGTCTGGGTGAGTCGCGTCTCCCAGTCCGCCACGAGTTCTGAGCAGAAGCAGCTCTCCTCGGGCCACGCGTGTCTTTTGCACGGCTCGAGGCGGAGGCGTAGCCCCAGGGCTGCAGCTGGCATGAAGACCATCGTTGGCGACATGGCAAACATGGTTTCTGCCCAAACCTGCAGACAGGCGGCAAAGAGCCCTTCAAAGAGCTGGCAGGGTACTGCACCTTGCAGCTATCAGGATCTTCAAGTTGCGAAGTCTCGCACTTGTGCTTCGTCACCTCGAGAGGCAGTGGAGGGACCCAGCAATCCTTTCCGATGGCCACTCTCGGCTGCCGGCGCGCAAAGCATCGCTGAATGTGGCAATTCCGTCCAGCTCTTCCTGTCGCTTTGAGATTCCTATGGAATCCAAATTCCGGCATCCTGCAAGAGGCCTGCGAGAAGAAGCTCGGACATCCATAGCTAGAGGGGGAGAAGCCTGAGACGCGGGAACGCAGACCGGACCCCTCACCGTGGGTGCTCAGGCGCTAAAACGAAGTCGTCGAGGCAGCCACACTGCTTTCCGAACTGACACTCGGAGTCTGAGAGGCAGCTCCGCTCGTAGGGCCACTTCGAAGCCGTCTGCAGGCCAAAATACCTCCGACTAGACATGAGCGGCCCTGCCCCCTCCCCTGGCCCGTGGTTTGGATTGTAAAGCACTTTTGGCGCACACAGAGTAGTTGAAGCCCACGTCTGCCCAGCCGCCTGAACACTGGCGGCCTCCGAGTCAGGCGTGGTGCAGTTTTGTCTCTATCTGCCTCTATCTGCCGGCCCCAGCCTAAAGGCTCGCAGAGCAAGGCCATCTGCACAGACAGATGATCCACTTTGCCAAGTCGTGAAGCCTGGTTCGGGGGTGCCCATCAGCACGAAAAGTGCTGAGACAGCACTGGGGCTTCAAAAAAGGGGCAGACTTTGCGCGAAGCTCCGAGCGCTCTGCGTTTGTTGCATCGATGCAGTGGCGATCCGAGAGAGAGTCCAACGCGGCGAACATGTAGCAGGCCCCGCAGTCGCCCTGAAGAGGCGAAGAGAGCCGAGAGGGCGAGGCCCAGAGGGCGAGATAAAAAGACAAAAAAAACATAAATTATTTATATATTTTTATATGGATATAGTTTTTGTGGATGCGAAGATCAGCTCACGTCGCCTGGTTGTGCACGTAGTCCAGACACTGTGGCCTCTCCCGCAGCCAACCTGGCGATGACAGCCCTCGCTGCGCGTGCCCGTGCGAGGATAAACACAGGCCAGGATGGCTGAAGCTCGACGGAAAAGCCGTGTTCACTGAACCTGTCTGCATCAAAGACCTGCGCTGAGGGTCCTGAGTCAACGTCAAGGTGCCTACATCTTCAACTGGCAGAGGCAATTTCTTAACGAGATGCCCGAGCTGCCAGGTGCTCCTGACGCTTCAGCCCCACTGCATATGCCTGACGTCATGTGGCACAAGAAGATCGACCACTGTATGTTGCAGTCCGAGACTTACTGCGCGCCTTCCGTTCCTCGTCGACAATGACACCAAGGCCACCAGGAAGGCTGAGATAAAGTTCACCTTGGCGCTTAACCGTTTACACGTGGCGATGCATCTACGAGAATATGCTGGTGTCGCTCTACCAGAAAATTGAGAGATGACGTGGGCATCATTGCTAGTTCACGACAGGGTTTGCGTGCAGCCTCAACCTTTACTTTCACTTCGTCGCAAGCTGGTCCAAATAACCATCTAGAATCTAGGCACTGGGGGGCAGCATGGGCCGCAGAACTCAATTTTGGCTAATGTTCTTCGTTCCTCGGACCACACACTTCCGCCCGCAGATTCCACTTTCGAACACCTGCGAAGTGCTACACTAAGACTAGCCCCCGGTGTTTGACGGGGGCCTTAACTTCGGCAGCCTGAAGACGAACCTACAGGAGATCTTTGCAGCTCGCTACCTGCGGCCGATGGCTGAATGGATCCTGATCGCCCGTAAGTGTCTTCGTATGTACATTTCGCAAGGCATTCACGGGAGTCACATTGCCGCGTACTGTGGACCACCTCCACCTTCAGGAACGGTCCAGTTGATGAACTCCTGCAGGCAGGCAGGCAGGTGAAGGAGGGAACTGACTCCCAACACTGCCACTGGCCGCTTCGCCCCGTGCTCCTTCGGCGTTTTTATCGAGCAGCATTTGCAGTGAACGCAGTTCTGCGCATTGATCTGCAATTTCATTTTTCCTTCTGCCTCCTCGTCTGGCACATACCTGGCGATTTGCCGCTCAGACACGAAGGCAGGGGCTCTCCCTTGTGCCCAATCTGAATTCCGAGCTGCTCGTAGACCTTCGCAGGGCAAAAACGCCCCTCGGGCCCATCATAGAGCGGCAAGGAGACTTCCAGGGGCACTTGCCTGAGGTCACAAGAACTGTGGACCGACCCATGGATGCCGGACAGCTCACAACGCGGCCGAGAGACGCGTGCTCGTCTTTCACTTTGAGGTGGGCAGGCTGGTCGTGCTCATGGTTGACGCCACCTTCAGCACAGCCGTGGATTCTCGACGATCTGTCCCTTGAAAGAGGGAAGAAGTCAGCTGCCAGGTCTCAGGCAGCCACTTCGAGCTAGGTTTTCCAGCAGATCGAAGGAGAACACGCCATCCGGCTTTGGATACTCAATCTTCTGGCAGTCCTTGGACGTTGGTCTTTCCACCGGATGCACTGCCCTATCGCAGATTCCACAGTCTGAACCAGTCGTGGCGCAGCTGCTGGCTTCGTGTAGTCGCCTTAGCACCAAGGAACTCAGCAGAAAAAAGGGCTGGAACCTGTCAACGAAGGGAGACCAGAATGGCAAAGCCACTGTCTTTCTTCGACCACCGGAAAGTCCAGGGCTCCTCAACCAGCGTAGAAAATACAAACAAACAAAAGGGGCCTTGTTTTGTCCTTTGGCTCCGAAAGGACATAAATGCGCACTTTCACAACTCGCCGAAATCCAGGTTATACGTTTACGTCGCTTCTCAGTGTCTGAAACACGTGTCCTTTCCACGACTGACCATCAGTGTCATGCCGCCGTAGCTCAGCCCTGGCCACATCCCGGCATGCCAGGCCTCCACACGAGCCACCAGCCGGATGAAAAGCCCCAACACAGGCAGCTCCAGAAAGAGGCAGCAGCAGGGCCCCGCACTGGCTTGAAGTTCCGGACCCGCATCAGCTCGTCCCAAACCCACGACGAACGGACGTCCGCTTCGTACTTCTTCACCTAGCTGGCTCAAGAGTGCTGCTGCTTGCCGGTCAAGAGCTCGGAATCTGCACCAACGGAAAGGCCCCAAAAGTGCGGGAATCTGGGCACCTCTTGGCCAGAGGCACTGCCTCCCAGCACGGCCTCTGCGGCAGCAGCTCCCGCCAGCATCCCCGTCCTGACTTTGCTTTTTTTGCAAAAGGAGTCGCGGAGGGTAATCGCGCCCACGAGCAAAAAGGTGCGAGCAGCGAGCACGGACACCGGGCAGGAACACGAGCCCCAGCCCACATGCACGGGCCAAAATTGTGCACGGCGAGAGCAGGATCTCGGGAGGTGTCGTACAGGGGTGAGGAAGAACCCCGCACAGGGGTGTGTCGGACCCTCAGCCTCTCCATTCTGAGCGAGAGAGAGCGAGAGAGAGCGCGACAGAGGGAGAGAGCGAGAGAGAAAGAGAGCAAGAGCAAGAGAAAGAGAAAGAGAAATATTGAGGGCAAGGAGTTTTGCAACTCAGAAGAATCAGAATGAATGAAAGAAGTGTGAATAGGAGGCAGGAGAGGGGACAGGACAGAGTGCGGGAGTGCGGGAGGGCTAAAGGAAGGACAGGTGAGAGATGAGGGCGTGGCCATCGACAGCTGGAAGACAACTCAGGCTGGGGGGAAGAACATGGGCACCCTCGAAAACACGCAGCATGGTGGCGAGAGCGTGTGGACATCGCTGAAGCGGTAGATATTGCACAGATCCGGGCGTCCCTGATGGACAGCTAAGGAAACAAAAGGATGTTGCACCGAGTGTTACTGCAGTGCTACCACACTGCTTGGGGGAACCAAACCCAAGAATGCTGGAACTGTAAGGAAAAGCCTGGGGCCTAGATAAGACCAGAAAGCCACTGAACATTTCCAGCCCAGCAGCTTCATCGCTGTGTGGCTGCCTTTGATCTTCGGCACATTCAGGAACCCAGCGCTGCAGCCTCGGGGAAGAAACAAACTCGGGACCCGCAAAGAAAAGGCCCCAAGTAAACAACTGCCCTGCCTGTGAGCATCCCTCCAGGGAAGGTGAGCTTGGGCACCGCTTGGACCCCGCCCTCGTTAAGGCAGCGCGCGCCGTAGGAGAGGCAGGTGCCGCCCTCAGCAAACACTTGTGACACACTGGAACTGCGCTCGTGCATCATAGCAGATCACCAATTCTGCTTCAGATCGGAACAAAGTATACAGCACAGACATGCAGTCCCATGTAGCAGAGCAACACAATGTAGCAACATCCGGATAGTAGAACCTAACATAGTATGCCCAAGTGTCAAACCGTCAAGCGTGTATTGAGGTGGTACAAAGGTGAATTGCAGGCAATACAACAAAGTAGAACTGGCAACAGTTCGATGATCATCTTCAGCTGTAAACTCGAGATGTGCCAAAAGCCCACTGGAATTGTACTACAGCACAATGTACTTCGGATGTTCGTGGAGCCGGAGAGCGACGGCAACCACAGTATGGCACCACGGAAGCGAAGACAGAAGATAGCGCGAGAATACTGCTGAGTGATGCACGGTGTCAGGTAAAGATTGGAACTTTCAGCATGCTGTGATCTCGCAGAACAGCAATGCATTCCGGTGTGGTTCGAACTTGTGCGTGTTGTGCAGGTGTACACGCACCAGTAGCGATGCACTTCGGACTCTCCACGACCTCCGCCGAGAAACCTCGAGAAGGGCCTGGACTCGAGGATGCTGCTTGAAGCGCTGAAACTCCTGGTAGGGGCTCCTTTGGTGAACAGATAGGGCAAAACCAAGGAAGCATCCGCATACTGGTGCCGAGGTTCATGTAGGGGTTGGCATAATCGAGGCCGACCACCATACCTCTGAGACACACATCCCTCCGGTCGGCTCAATGAATCCCCGGAACCCGCCTATGTGGAGCAGGTTTGGCTTCATGTGGTAGATGAAGGAGCCACCATAGCTCCACATGTCCAGCGGCCAACCAACCGTGTGCGTTACCGTTCCTGCGCGGTGATTCTCTGGGCGGATCTCCCACACCTCTTTCACACCGAGGCCATAGTGCTGTGGGGATACACCTGACGGCTGTTGAACTAGTTGCACGCAGGAGTGCCGATCATTGGCAAAGGAGCGCGCCTTCTCTAAGGTTGTACTGCTTCATCAGCATCTCGCTCAACGAGCCCCGACAGCCTGAAACACAACAACTTTGCTGAACCGCTGGAGGGCAACCGGGGGTGCGCCTTCTGCAAGGATGGTCTGCTTGCCAAGCAGATGCATGCCTCCAGAGACAGCTTGAACTTCTGGGATCAGGAAGGCGATGCTCAACGTCGGCCTGCTTCAAAGGTATCCTTCTCCTTGCCGTCCTTGCCGATGCCCACGTCCCGTAGCTGTACGCCAGCAAGGGCACCATCCACGAAGACGGGGGCATCTGCGGCAAAGCCTTTTGTAAAAGAAGGCTGATTTAGAAGGAGCTGGGTCTGGGTCTGGGTTGGGCATGTCTGGCCTGCGTAAATCTCGACGCCCACCTCCTCCGCCTGCTCTGAGAGCCACCGGCACAGCTGCCCCAAGGAGATCACGTAGTTGCCCTCAACAGGCAGCGACGTCATCTCACCCCCTCGGCTCCCCCCCCCCGGCACCTTCTGCCGCATCTCCGGCGCTATGTGCAGAAGCGGGCCAGGCAGGGGCACCGCGTGCTTCCCGTTGGGAAGCCTGCAAAGCAAGGCTACCAGCTGCACTGGCAACTCACTGCACGATGCATTGCCAACGCTTCTTCTGAGTCTACGCGACGGTCCACGGCGTGGCAAACGGAACGTCTAAGTTGAAGCTCTTCAAAAAACTCTTTATCTCAAGAGTCGGTCATCTCCAGTCTCAGGCTGCGATCAAGAAACCAGTAAAACGAGTCACTGGTCACCGGCGTGTCCAATGGCGCTCCTCGATCCTTCCAGTCTGGGAAGAGCTCCTGTTGAACGCGCCGCGCACATTTCTTCAAGATGCTTCGGCACGAAGGTTCCAGGGCCCCTTTGCGGCCCAGATGGCACTTGCAGATGGCTCCTGAAGAGCTCGTGGCTCGAAGACGTTGCCGGAGAGAATATGTGCCCCGATTTCAGCACCTCCGCGGAGGGAGGCTCTCAGGCTCTCTACAAGTTCTCCGGGAGCAAAAGCTTCCGCTGGGACCCTGGCCCTTCTCAACAACACAGACCTCGAAAACCAGCAACCGGGGTTCTGAGCTCTGGGCTCTGCATTGCTGGGAGGCCGGGCGCTGAGCTCCTGTCCCGCCGCCTGCGCCACCTGCTTCGCTCGGATCGCCGCCGCGAGGCCTGCAGGGCCACCTGGCGACGCTCGGCTCCTCTGCCGTAGCTTCGAGCATCCGGCACGCAATCGCACGCAACACCCGTATGGCGTCTTGCTTTGTCGCTGCGTACCGACCCAAAGCTTCACCATGTGTTTGCTAAAGCTGCAGATCTACAACTCAAGACTTTGGCGACTCTTCGACTCGCTGTTAACCCTCGAGGCCGAAGCCCGAGACTTGGAGACGTGATAACTCTGCAAAAAGTGCGCATCCTATCTCTCCAGACGCCTGGGGCGCTGTGGCACTGCGAGTGGCACATGCGGATTAAGAGAGCTTCGCGCTTGGGCGGCCCGACACCCCCCGAACACCGCCTCCAACTACGAGGACATCAAACCTCAGAATTGCCCGAGTTCCGCGCTGTGACATCATCGTGCCCCACTGACGGACTGAGATGAGAGCTCCATTGACTCGCGCTGGACTCCGCTAAATCTGCGGGAGTTCAGCCGGTGCAGACCAGCCTCGGGGTGCTGAGTGGGAGAGTGAGAGATGGAAGGCGCAGGAGAAGACCTGAGGAGCCCGCACGCGCCCGGCTCTGAGGGACAAGTGCCACGGCTTGTGGGAACCTGCGTCGAGGGCTTCCACTGGACTCAAGCCCAAGAACTGTGCCCTTGGCCCTCACATGAGCGCGTGACCGGCAAAGAGCCCGAGCTGCTGCCGGAACACGAAACATGGTGCCCTGAGACACAGAACGATGCAGAAGCTTCCAGGAATTTCGAAAGCTGGCTGCCACTAAGTCTCACCTCGTGCTCTGGCGCACTGCTCCGCGCTCGAACTATCCGCTTGAGCCCATCAGCTGACGCATCAGTTTATGTGGCGGATATACATTAGCAGCATACTGCCACATTTCTTTCCAGGGCGGGGACGGATCTGCCGGAGAGAAGCTTCAACTTGATTTTCTTCACTGACGAAGTTCTCTTGCCTCTGCTGTCCCGGCATGACTTGAAAAACCGTGCTGTCCTGCGTGCCTGGAAGCCTCCGTTCTGTTCCGAAATTGTGCTGCCGCGTAAGGCCATAACTCGCTAAGGGAAGCAGAGCTGCCGTCAGCCTCCGCAAAACAGGCTCCGAATGCGAGACAAGCTCGTAGCATGCTCCCCCCCCCCCATTCAGTTAGGACCCCCCTCGCCTATTTCGGCTATCGGCACCACCCACCCCACCAATCATTAGCCCAACACTTGATCACACTCTAGAACCCCAATACTCCTATCTACTTAGGCAAAGTTTCTACGAAACTCGTAGCCCGACAATAGGCCAGGGGTTCCTCGTAGAATTTGGTTCAGGGTTTAGGGCTAAGGGTTGCATCAAAGCTTCGGCTTCTCGGATTCTCCAAGAATGTTATAACTACAACGTAATTATAATACATAACTCTTTATCTATTACAATTACATTATAACTATGCGGTTTGGGTAGATACTAATGATTCTGAACGATCATCTCATCTAAGAACCGTGATGTTGCTGCAAAGTACTGTCTCTTTTTAAATCATATTGTAAACAGTATCTTCATAAAATATGATATACTCTTTGATAGTACTGAAAGAAACCACATAAGGTATCTTGGAAAATACTTCTTTTTCTCCTGATGCCATTTATAAAAGTCGAATGTGTCTAGGTTCTCATACATTGCTTTCATTTCACTATGTAACTCAAGGGTACTATCGTCCTTTTGAACATCATCTCGCATAATTTTATGAACTTCATCATATTCTGGATATGTACATAATTTAGTAAACGGACATATGTAATCATCAAATAATTCCCTAGCTTACAACATTTGTCGCAACCATAGTAATCTACAATCTGATCTTTACAGATATGTAAGATCGCGTTTGCCTAGTTAAACGGTTCTGTCTGTTCCTAGTTGGGATACACGTATTGCAGTTGTTGACATACTTAGATTTGTGTATCTCACGATCAAAACACAGATGTTTCATCATCACTTTCACTTTCATATTCACTCTGACTTTCGTACTCACTGTCACTTATTTCCACAATAATATATAAGTTGCTACTTCTTTAAGTCATTTTCCTCAGAAACGTTTTCTTAAAATTTACCGGATCACGCTTTGTTTGACAGACCTATCTAAACATTCTGAACAAGTCATAGTGTATTTAATGTAATTGTAAGAGTGTTTACTGACACAATATGTTCGCTTGAAACAATCAATGTCTTTGACTTGCTTACAGAGATAACACTTCCTAGTAACAACATTAACTGTTTGACTGTGTGGATGCAAACCAACTAATATCTTATCTACCTTTATTGGCATTGTTATTATTATTATTATATACACTTTTTCATGTTGCGGGATACCGAAAATTTGCCCCGATTCCTTAAGATTTAGTGAAACTAATTACGAATTAAT